GGAAATGATATTGTCAGGGCGTGTGCACTGTCCACCTTTGCTGCCCTGTGTTTTCCCCTCACTTTATGACTTCTGTCTCTGTCAAAGCCAGTTCTGCATACTGGTCGTTCCAATGTGTGAGACAGCATCAGAAAGGGGGAACCAAAGCTGAAGAAGCTGTGTAGGTAGCCTTTGAGATTCAGTGGTGCGATACCTACAGAAAAAGTAAAGAGAATGACTTAGCTGCAGCTAATGGGCCCAAGAGCTGAAGAAATTGGAGAAATTCTACCAAATGTTGCTGTGGATTGTAAACTGGATCCTTTTCTTGATCTCCACAAATTGCAAGAAAAGCATTGGGTTGGATTTTTTTAAAAACTATCAATGATTCTGTTTCTTGGGCCATGTTACATTTCAAACTGGACCTCAAGCATTTCCCCTCCCATTTGGTTATAGGTACATGCCACTTCATTTATCTTTCCATTTACAGCCACCTCAAGTGCTTCTTTTTTTTCTAGGTTTTCATTACTGTAGTTTTGTGAGTTTTCTATTTTAAAACCTGGAATCCCTCTCTATACACAACTACTGCCCTGTTTCTGTTGACAGAGCTATAGAGTGTATAGACTTGGTTTGAGAAATTCTAAAAACTACTCCCAAAAATGACCAGAACCTAAGAAAGGGTGATTTAAGAAGGAATTGGGGTCAAATAGCTAAAACATTGAAATCAGGCCAGTCAGAGTATTTATATTTTGACTTTTTAGTACAGAAAACAGAGGATCAAAATTACTGCCTTGGTACTTGAAGAACAGAACTGACAATGTTTCTCAGATCAGTCCTGCTTCAGAATGATTGGCACAATTCTAATCTCTTCAGTGTTTGCTATCAGAATACATACAACAGTCTAAACCAAGGGATGCTCTTTAACTTGATGTTTTTTCACTGTTCATGAATATCCTTCATCTCAGAACGTTTTGAATACTTCATCATTTAAACAATCAAGTCTGATCAAGAAGCTAAGAACTGAAATTTATGCCATTCCATTTCCTTAACTGATGAAGACTTTCAAGTTAATATAAAAAGATATGCCCTTTAACTATTTTCAAGGAATTAATATAAATATCACAGTTATCATCAGACTGGCTTAATTTCTGAAAGTATACCTTCATAGCCTCTCCAAAGATTTTATTTTAGTCCAGACAATAAAAATAACATAAGTTTTTAAAAAGATAAATTGTGATTGACAAAGGAGAAACTTAATTTCTTAGATAGTATATTTTGAAGAATTAGCATTAAAATAATATTTTAGTAACTGAAATAGGCACATTGATATTTTAAAGCTTTGTTTTGCTGAAATATTTGACACTTTGTGTTTTAGTGAGGTCAGGTCTTTGGCTTGGAACTTAAAAACAGATGCAATAAACAATATTATGTGTCTATATTGCTGTAGTATAACAGTGGTTTAATCTGCCTGCCTGTAAAACTCTTATACGGAATGAAGTGGATCATTAGTTAATATGTTCAGTACTCTTCTTCAGATCCAAAACACTGACAGTTAAGAGTACTCTATCTTCATTTCCCTTCCCTATTCTTCCCAGATGAAAGCCAGTGAATGAAGATTGTTCTCCCACTGCCAGAGGCCTGCTCAGTTCCTCTGACAACCCAGAATAATGAACTCTAAAAGGGATGGGCACACAGTCAAATCAAGGCTGTTTGGACTCTGTTCTGCTAGATGTAGTCTCTCCTGGTCTGCCCACTCTGGGTACCAGAAAGGTGATGAAAATAACAGCCTTGATGGTGGCAAGTGATAGCCTCCCATTGTTAAAGTTGCTTAGGTATATTTTTCAACTATTTTAAATAAAAGAACAAAAATATCCGCACAGTGAAAACAATTTAGCCAGCACAAGCAGGTGTGAAATGAAAGGTTTTAGTACACCCCCTTCACACCATTAACTCCCTTGCTTGTTTTGTTCCCACTTCCCATCTAAGTCAGGATTCTCTGGTATGTTCTCCCCCACCTACCCAATTTTTGTTTATGCATCAGTCTGTGTATGTTCTGCCTTGCTTATTTTCATAGAAAGTTCTTAAGAATCTCTCTTTTTCATATCAGCCCCTACTCATCTAATTCTTTTTAAAAATTACAGTATACTGCTGCATGGATATGTCATATTGATATAAAAATCCCCCAATACTAATCTTGTTTGCTATTATAAATAAATAGCATATTATTATCATTAATTATTATTTAAATAATTAAATCATATGAATATCCTGGGAGATATATATTGATATACGTTTACAAGTATATTTGTAGGGTAAATTTCTGTCAGTAGAAATGCTGACTCAAATACATATCTATTTAAAATTCTAATAAACTTATTAAATTGCTCTTCAAAAAAATTACAACAATTTGCACTTCTACCAAACTCTTGTGAACACATGGTATTATCAGACATTTATTTTCCCCAGTCTGATAGATGAAAAATGTTATTTCACTGTTCCTTGGCTTTACAATTGTTTAGTCATGGAAAAGTTATTTGCTTTATTTTAAGTCTGTGATTATTTCTATATTATTGTGAACTATGATTACTATATATTGCTCATTATCTTTTGAAATGTGAAACACTGCACAATTTGCCCATTTGCCTCCCATTTTTCATGTAGGCATTGTTAACCCTCTCTCAGTCATTCCAATTTGACCACAGGAGGTCTGTCCAGACAGTATCCAGCCATGTAATATGAAAAATAGAGACATCTGTTGGAGAAGATACCAAATACAAGAAACATTGTACACAGGACAATGATACCACAGTCCCCTTTAAAGTAGGCACCTTGGGACCTCACACAGTTCTCCCAGTCCCCATCAGCTGTTCCATCGTATTTACCTGAATCTCATCAATGGTCAGAAATCTCTTCCCTTTCAAAGGTGATTTTAGTTTTGGGAAAAGCCAGAAACCACAAGTGCCACAAGAGTCACCTGAGTGATCAGATGTTTTGCAAAAAAACTCTGCATGATATGTGATGCATGAGTGGGCACGTTGTTGTGATGAAGCTGCTAATCGCCAGTTTGTCCATGGCTGTGGCCTTCTGAATCATCTGAATAGTTTGTGCAGAAGAATGTTCATGCTTAACACAAAATTTGATGCAGATTTGTTACTCTACTTGCTCAGTCACTTTGAATGTGATGGCCACAAAGCACACATGCTCATTCAATGGTGTCTACCTCCCCCCACTGACTAGTACAGTGAAGTGGTCCTTCTTCATGCATGTGTATTCCAGTCTACTCTCCTTGGTTGCCAGGTTACATAGATGTTGTGCAAACCATTCTCGTTGTATTAACAATGGCTGGACTTTTTCTGGGCAGACCTCATATATATATGAAAATATATATATTGCTGACATGAGGGTTATAAGATTTCCTTATCTGTAACCAATTATTTTGAGTAACAAAGAAAAAAGAGGAGAGACAGGGAGGGGGAAAGAGACAGGGAGAAAGGACGGGGAGGCAGGGAAGAACACTCCTGCCTAATGTACTCCACCAATCCTTGCTTGACTGCCAACCCTGGTAAGATGCAGTAATTGAAAGCATAATTTCTGAAATGAGACTTCTCGAGTTTGAATCATACCTCTGCCATTTAATAACCATGTACATTTATAAAACTTACTTAAATTCTCTAAGCCTCAGTTTCCTCCTTTGTAAATTGGAGATGATAATAGTGTGTACATCATAGAAGTTAGGATGTGAGGATTAAGTAAACTAATCCAACAACACTGACAAGCACTAAATATGGAACGTACACATGTTCAGCGGCTGCCAGTCACTCCTGACACTAACTGTTGGCCAGACCAGACCAGGCGGAACTAGGGCATCCCCTCCTTCCTGGTCCATTCTCAGTGTGCTTCCCTAATTGTGGGCTCTGCCTTCAATTTATGTTTTGGATTTCTGGGCAGTTAATTTAATCAATTAGCAAGCATCTCCCAATGGATAGAATATGTTCAAGAAACAATTTGCTTCATTCAGTCAGGGGAGGTAAAAAGTATTGTGGGAAATATAGAGTTTTATATCTTTCATTTATTCGGTTCCATTGTTCACTAATAAACAATGTAAGAAAGAGAAGACAAGAGTCAATATTTATATACATTTGGAGTTTGATACATATCTAAGTTAAAATGTTCAAATGAATATTCTTTTATCAGCAAATTAGATCTTTATTTTCTTTCCCCTAAAACATTTCATAACTTTTATGTTTTATATTATTACCCTCAGATACTGAACTGCTTAGTTAGTATTATGATACAAACTAACCTAAAGTTTGAGAAATGTTAAGACCCAGTGGAAAGAAACTGGAAATTTTACATTTATAATATTACATCTAGTAAATGACATTTTCATTGATAAAGAAAGAATGCTAAAATAGCAAGAAATAAACTTACATAAAGCTTATTTGAAGGCAATTTGTACAACATGGTTTTCTCTTTTAAAAAGTAGGGCAGTTTAACAGAAATATGCAAGAAATTGTTTTTCCATTCCTTTGATTTATATTTGTTTCAAACAAGTACTAATAAGTGATCTGGACTGAAATCAGGAGACTCTACATAACAATCCTATCAATTTGAGATTTGTTAAAGCTAGTCCAATGTTCCATTTTGGTAATAATTTTTTTAAAATGTGACAGTGGGAGTGATGTCAGGAGGACATCATCACAAATACAGTAAAAGACTGATTCTTTTGAAATTTTTCCTCCACAGAAAAGAATCAATTCAAATCAGATACCAAGAAGACATAATTGTTGAACATGTTGAAGTGTCAAATGGCCATACACACACATATTTTATGTTATGCTCTGAAATGCATGTATTTATGGATAGATGCCAATAAACTAAATAAATTTAAATGAAGTAAATCGATTGTCTTGCTTTCTGGAAACTTTGCATTACAGTAACCTGAAATTGTATATACAGGTATAAGCTCAGAGATTATTAAAATTATTTTATCTTTTGTTGTTTGTTTTCTTTTCTGTTTACAGTAAATGATGACCATTTAAATGGCTTGAAAGCCAGATTAGAAGATGCCGATGTTAGAAACGGGCATCTCCTGGGAGCCCTGAATGACACTCTGGGGAAGGTATCAGCAATTCCAGATGGTGAGCTCTCAGGACACTGCAAATCGTGTCAGCTATGCTGAACTTTTAAAGAATGTTTTATTTTTTAGCACTTTTTCTAACATTACACTTGTACTGTTGTTGGGACATCAGACACTTATTTTCTTATTAATTCTTCTTTATGATAATAAGAAACTAAACAATACTTTGTACTGCAATATTCCTTATCATTTGTTACCTTAGCTGACATCCACAAGGCTATGTTACAAAAAGGAAAATACAGCCATCTTATTACTGTATTTTTGTTTCATGCTTCAGCCCAGGAAATTTTACTTTAGTAGAAAAGTATAAAATCATACAGACACTGTTCTCTGAAATGTTGATGTACTACCAGAAAATCACAGGTTGTTACTGTATCTGCATTAATAGGTGAGAGTCAACTGCCTCAATGCATAATTCAGCAAAGTTCAATTTCTTAAATGTGTCAGCTTTCAAAGCCATTAACAGCTGAACCATGTCTGTAATATCAACCTACCTATTACAAGTACTTGAAGTGATTGCTTGGTGCACCAAAAACACTATTCTTTAGGTTACTCTATGTATATTTTTCATAGTGTGACATAATAACAAGGGTCACTAACATTTATTGAGTGCTTACTCAGTGTGTTCAAGTGTATGTACTCCTCATACTAATCCTGAAGTGAATGATACTATTAATCCCACTTTACAGATGACAAGCTGAGACATAGGATATTGAAGGTCATTGTTAAAAGCGACATATATGAGATTTGCACCCCACAGCTTAACTTCAGAGCTTGTGGTCTTAACCAGTAATCCACATATACTAGTAAGCGTCTATGTCTACAGTATATTTTCTTTATACAAATGTGATCAAGAAAACAAATGCATATGTTTATACAAAGCAGAAAAAAATAAAATCTTAATTATTTTTACTTTTTTTAATGTGAAAAATCCAAATAATTTTCTAGATTTTCATATCACCTCTTCAGTAGTAAGAAAGTATATAGTAAATTTCCAGGGCTGTAAACAAATGTAAATACATGAACACATAGTCTAACATACCTAGAAAAGTCTGTTATCTGTCTCTACCCATCAACTAAAATACATCGATTCCACCCACCCCCCAACATGGATGGGCAGATTAAGTCTTAAACCTACTTTTTATGAAGCTGTGAGACTCCTGTGGATAAATTTCTCTTTAATATGTGCAACAGCAAATCACAGTATACCCCTTTACAGTGAACATTTAGAATAATCACTTTGCTCTCTTAAGAATTAATCAGCTATTCATAGCAAAGGTCCCTGAGAAAATTGAATTTAGCTGAAGTTTTACTTCATTTGATACAACCGAATGAGCCAAAGTTCAGCCTTTCCCTTGGTGCGTGTGTTGCCGTGGTGCGTGTGTTGCCGAGGTGCATGTGTTGCCGAGGTCAGCCAGCTGTGGCCTCACTTTGGCAAACGTGGATTAAGCCACTAACTCCAGACCCTTGGTTTTGTTTCTCATGCCTTCTGCTGACAGATACAGCTGCTAAACTACAAGCCGTTAAGGACAAAGCAAGACAAGCGAATGACACAGCAAAAAATGTACTGGCGCAGATTAAAGATCTCCACCAGAACCTCGATGGCCTGAAGAAAAATTATAATCAACTAGCAGACAGCGTAGCCAAAACCAATGCTCTGGTGAAAGATCCTTCAAAAAACAGTATGATCCCCTTTCTCATTTTGATTATGTCATTTATTTATTCACACTAAAAACATACCCTAGACTCGTACCGTTAGAGCTGGAAGAGAACCTCATCGTGGTGTAGCCTGTCTTCCTCGTTATATAGACAAGGCTCAGGGGTTGAGTGTTTCTGAAGCTCCGGAGCTGGAACCAGAACCCAAGTCTCCCAGCTTTGCACCATGGCTGTTTCCCTCCACACTGTGTCCAATCAAGGGGAAATTAGGAATTCTCAAAGTCTGCCTAACATTTGGTATAGCAATGCCAAATACCTTTAATCCTCCACTGTAATTGAAAATATCTTTGTACTGGGGAAATGGTATCTTCAAAGCTGGTGACGTTCCCTGGAACATAGAGGTCATGGAGCATTGCAATTAGAACATGATATTAAAGTGGTATCAACTTGAAATCATTAACATTAAAAAATATTAATATTTTATTATTTAGATTTTAGTTGTTTAACATTTTCAGGAAATTAAAGCATTTATTTAGTTTACCCAGAATATTTGTTCACATTTTTGTACATCACATCAAATTATATTTAGTTAATAAGAACTTACTGAGAAACATAGGAGAACTTAACATAACAATAATTTAAATTATTAAGTATAGTCAATATAGTTAAGGTTTTTCCATATTTTTTCCATTTGGTGAAATGATGTCATCTCAGTATGTGATTTCACCAAAAGAGACACTGATGTTTTTGGACTTGTTACTCTCAAGAGAGTAGTAGCCTTCTCTACATACCAATGTTTTCATTATCAGAATATTTGTAGCGTACAGCAAAAGCCCTGTGATTGACATTAACACTATATAATTCAGATACTGGTTGGGGGATGAAGCCCGATTTTTCAGTACCACAGCCTCAAATCAAATCCCAGTGATGCTGTGAAATAACAGACACTACTAGCACAACTCCTTCATGGGCAGGAAGAGTGCAAATAAATATAGCGTGCACATCGGACCCAAGAAGGGTTTATGCCTAGCCATTTCTTCAAAAAAGAAAAAGACAAGATACACTGGTTTTCTTAATTTATTCTTATGTAAGGCTAGAGATAGTTTATCCCTATAGATCAAAAATCCATCAGAATAAATGGTTCAGATGCATGGCAAATCATATTGCCCCCCCATAAAGGAATGAACATATATTTTAAAGTAAATATCACTATTTCACTTATTTTATAATTTAAGATATCATTTCCTTCAGTTTCAGATTGATTCTTAGCTGATAGTGGCCTTTTCATAATATTTATCTCTACCTTTTTTGATCCTGTTCTCTATGAAGATAGTTAATTATGTATAAAATTAATTAAATAGGTCTGTTTTATATTTTTTAGAACATTATAGTAAAATATCTTTTAATATGAACATAGGCCTCAAAATGGCAGGTTTTTGTGTGCTTTTATTTGATAACACTAGTTTGACTTAAAATGGGATACCTGTGTAACTAATACCTTTTGCAAAAAGTATCATTTTGTGATAGTCAAGTGTCAAGAAAATATTTCCTCATGAATTTTCTAATTTCTTTTTGTTTTACTTCCACATGAAATTACCTGCAGAAATCAGTATGTATATATTTATTTACATACCTTTCAGTAACTTTTATGCTTGATTGCCTATCGCAAAAAGTTTCAGCTCTGCATGTTAAGTTTCAGTATTGCCTTAAACGTGGTATAGGTATTCTTTCCAGTATCACAAGATTAATGCTATATATATGTAAAATAAATATTTCTTTATAAAAATTAATATGTGAATATATTTGATATGCTTCCAGAGAATTATATTTAGAGAAGCTCATAATAAAATAAAATTAAATCTTAACAAGCAACCACTGGGTTATAAAAATATTTTCTTAAACATCCCATAGTTTTAATTCAAAATCAATATTAAAACTGCAAAATAGAAAATAGTCATAAAATCCAGCATATCAAAACCTAAGAGACTGTCCTCAGTGGGAAATGAGTGCAATTACATTACCAAACCAGCATTGAAATAAACAATTTAACCAATTCTATAGGTTAAACAAAACAAATTTAACTAAAAGAAGGAATATGAAAAAACATGACTGAAATAGAAGACAAAAAAAAAATGGACCTGATCAACCCAAAAGGTGGATCTTTAGGAATTTAAAGATAAAATATTTTAGATGTTTGGCAGACTTAATCAAGAAAAGTAAAGCACAAATAGACAAAGTTCTCAAGGAGCTATAACTAGATAAGAGTAAATTTGACACATAAAATGATAATTGGCAGACTCTATGCTTATAAATTTTAAAGCTTAAAAGAGATGATTTTCTATAAAAATAATATCAAATTTATCTTCAGAAGTTTTTTAAAAATCTAATAGTCAAATAGTTGTGGCAGAAAGAAGCTTTCAAAAACTACTACACAAAAAATCATCAGACTCAATATCACAGATGATTTAATTTAAACATTCAATAAGACAATTTTTTTGTTATTGATTTGAGAGAGAGAGGGAGGGAGAAAGAGAAGCATCAAATTGTTGTTCCACTTATTTATGCATTTATTGGTTGATTCTTGTATTTGCTCTGACTGGGATCGAACCCACAACTTTGGATGATGCTCTAATCAAGTGAGCTACCCAGCCAGGGCCTAAGAAGATAATTCCCATATGATTTTAAACTTCTCCAAAAGATAGAGGAGAAAAAGGGGAGGGGGCGTGGAAGCCTGCAGAGTGCATTTTAAAACAGTTACTAGAAACTACTAAGAGGATTAGAAGGAAAGGATCTATTATTTACTGCCTAAGCCTCGGTAGTCTTTGCTTAACCCCTCTTCTCTCTTTCTTAGGAATTTAAAGCATTTTTCCTCAATTCTAGAATAATTTTTCAAATATCAGAGTAATATTAGAGAGTTAAAAGAAGGAAAAATTGACAAGTGTTTTATTTAAAGTTGTACCAAATGAAAGAACACGTGTTGTTATGTTGAATATCTACACAATTATGTAACAAGGGCTGTGACCCCAATACCCTACATCAGGAACCCTATGTTCATGATCCTGAGACCCCATGTTAATGTTAATAAGATACCTATGTCTTTTTAAACATTGCTAACAATATGACTCATAGTTATGAATATGAGTTCAAAATTCTTAGTTTAAACTTAGTTTAAAATAATAATTGCCTTCCTTTTGAACACTTTTGATTAATTCCCGAGGATTAGTCCCCAGTGGAGCAGTGTCAGCCAGAGAGCAGATCATTCCTAGTCCAGCAGGGCATATAGCCTTGGACCTTAAGCAGTTTCACTTTTTAATCAGGGTCCCAATGACAGAAAACAGAACGATATATGCTTGATCAGATAATAAAGGATGCAGTTTGGATAAGACTGCCAGCATGCTAGAAGGAGAATAATTGGTTTTCCCTGTGTCATTTGTCCTCTTATGAAAGGCACACTCTGGATGTCCATGGATCGGTGATAAACTTCAGTCATTTTGGGGTTATACCCCTTCTGAAATTGTCAATATTCAACTTTTTTTATCTATAACAATGGCAGTTTAATATGGTTCAATATAATATAGAGAGCAAGATAATCAACTATTCTTCAAAATGAAAATGATCTGCATCATGAAAGATTTAATTAAAGTATGAAATAGGCCTTTAGTCTAAGGGTTGTTCAACATTAAAGGGTTTTCAAAAGACATTTTTGATAGCTTCTCCATTTAAGATGTGCAAATAAAGACAGTGAGAAAAAGAAAGAAAACCACTTTTGTGTGAGAGGCCTGATTTAAATACAAGTCTGGTTTGGACAGACTAGGTGACATTTTAAAGACACTTTCATTTCCCTGATTCTATGACTAAAATTCTATTCTGTAAAGGTTGGCTTGTGGCTTGTGGCTAGAAATGAAGGGTTGAATTAAGTTTAGCATATTTCAACCTTCAATGCTAACTTCCAGTTTCCTCACAAAGCCCGTGCTGGCCCTCGTCCTCCCAAAGCTCCTCCTCTGGCCTGCTTGAGTCCCAGCTAAAATATTCCTGTTTGCCATCACAAGCTGATGCAATAGTTATGGTCTTTCTTTTGTCATGTGGATAAGATAAAATTATTTTAATTATTTAGTTAAGCATGCTGCCAATTTCACTTGCATGTATGTGCATGGATGCATGTGTGTATGCATGTGTGTGTGTGTGTGTGTGTGGTATGTGCTAACCTTGTCCCGTGCAGTTGCAGATGCAGATGCCACTGTGAAAAATCTAGAACAAGAAGCTGATCGACTGATCAATAAACTCAAACCCATCAAGGAACTAGAGGATAACCTGAAGAAAAACATCTCTGAGATAAAGGAACTGATAAACCAAGCCCGGAAACAAGCCAATTCTGTAAGCTGTTTTTATTTGCAATATCAGTCACTGGTTGTGGTTTGGTATTATTTCCAGGTGAAATGTCTTCCCCAATATATATTGTTGATTGATTTTTGTTTCTTTTTATTTACTTGAAGTTATTTTAGGGGAGTTGGAGAATGAAAGGTTAAATGTTTTTAGTTTTTTCAAGATATTGAAAAAATATTTCAAGATATATTTCAAATATCTTCTCAAAATAACTCTTGAGAAGAATAATCACCACTAATTATTTTATAAATTGAAATTCTTATGTATTTTATTATTATTTAAATAGAGTAAAGCAAATTGTAAGAATACCTTATTTTCATATACTAAAGAAGTATGAATGAGAGTGCCTTGCTCTTGACGAAAGCAGAAAAAGGCAAACCAGTGGTGAAGTAGTAGGAATTAATGAACAAGGTTATATGAAGTAATAGGAAAGAGGAGCCATTCTTTTCTGTATATTTTTTTGCTTGAGTGTAAGCAATAACATAAATTATTTTGATTGCAAACTCTGTAACCAAAAGAAATTTTGTAAAATTTCTCTGTAAAAAGAAGTTTCTAAGAAATTTTTACAGTTTCTTTTTTGGAGGAAGAATAAGAAATACCTAGCTATCTCAAAATTTTGGTCTTTATTAACAACTAGAAGACTATTAGGATAGAAGCAGAACTTTCTAGAAAATAACATTGTAATAAATGATGGCAGAATTGTTAATGCCACTATGAAACTTTATCTAGCTGAGTAAAGTTATCCCCATGGTGGTTTTTAGAAATAGAAGGGGAAAAATAACAGTTTTCATGCTGTCATGTTTAAACTCAAATGTTTATAGGTACCCGTGTCTTCCATCTCACAAATTTTGTTTTCCTGACAGCTGGGAAGCAACAATGACTAGAAATGACCTTTCTTAATCCATCAATTTATATTTTTCTAATAGTGACTAGGAATAAAAAGCCAAGTGACAATATATCCATGGTCCTCCTTTCTACATATCTAACACCTCTAAAGAAGGCCAAGACAATAAGTTCAAGGTGTTCTTTGAAAAAGAATCCATGACTGACTGAAAGAAACTTAGAAAACAATAAAAAGACTAGTGAGGATAATGTACATAAGCTTAATAAAAAAAACAGCAGATACAGTTGAGAAGATATTTATTGAGGTACAATATGAAAATCATGTAGGCAGTAGGAGAACAGGTGATCATTGTTTATGTGAATCACCAGGCAAAAATAAATCAGATCTCACTCTAAGATTTGGCGTTTTCCCTAAGATTTAACGAATGTAGAAAAACCATCTCCTGGGTTCAAGGAAACTTTCTATGAAGTACACAAAAATGAACAAGGAACACCCAAAGTTTATACTGTAGTAAAAGAAATAAGACATGTATTCAAATAACTCTAAACTAATGCAGAATATTGTACTGCATTGTATGAACAATGGAAATGCTATAAAGTTATTAAAGGAAAAATCACCTCTGATAGGGACCAGAAGATTCCCTGAAGTGAGGGATTTGAGCCAGGTGTAAAGTGGCTTAGTGCTGGGCATGGGAGAGAGCAGAAAGGCAGGGGGGAGCAACATTCTTAGAAGGGGGGATAGCCTGAGCCAAGGCAGAGAGAGAAAAAAGCTGTAGGGTTTCCTGAAGGAGCCGTCTAGTTTGCCAAGATTATTTATTGGTAAAGTGAACTTGAAACTGGAAAGGTGTGTAGAGACCAGGTATTGTCAGGCCCTGGAGAGTGTAAGTTAATCAATTTCATTTAGCTGTGATTGTACCTGAAATAAACATTATTGGTGAGGGGAAGCTAAAAGGACCTGTTTATAAACTATACTATAATCAGAGCTGAGCATTTTGAATATGAATCTGGAAGTAGTTTGTGGGGCAGATGAGAAAAACTACAAAGGAGGAAGCGAATTTTGCATTGCAAGAGCCAGTTGTGTTCATGGCAGGAGAAACAACAGACTGATACACCACCTCTGTGTTTGGCATGTTAAGTTTGAAGAAGCAATAGTAGTGAATATTCTACTGTGAATCACACAGCCACATACTCTGCTTAGTTATCAGGTGGGAAAGTCTGAACATTTTTCTAATTTTTTTTATTTTTCAGGTACAGTTAATACACCGTATTATATTGGTTTCTGGTTTACTTCCCAATGATTAGATATTATATAAGTTACTAAGTGATGGTCCTGATAAGTCCGCATACCCATCTGATACCACACATAGTTATTAGAATATTATTGACTTTATTGCCTATGCTGTACTTTACATCCCCATGATTATAACTACCATTTAGACATTTTTGTTGTATCTTCATTGTAAAGAAATTTTGAAATATGCCCATATATTTATCAGTTTGAGCATGTCCCTACTTCGAACCCACCCCCTGCAGAAAAAGTTAAAATTCTAGCATGTCAATGTATATAACCTGTCTCCAGACACAAAATGAAAGACAGGTATAAAAGTAATGCTAGAAAAAGTGGTCAATGCCTATGGCTTTTAAGGAAATTTTCAATCACTTCTGGATATAGAAGTCACAGTGAAGTGTCCTACTTTTTATAAGATGTTAGAAATATGTACGCAGCCAAATTTTTTCAATGAGTTTTATACAAATTGAAGATGACATTTGGCTGGTTGGTAAACATATTTGTAACCTAGTGTGAAAGTCTGGATGCGGCCTTAACACATATACAATGGGACCAAGCAAATTAAAGACACTTATTTTAAAGTAGTTTTTTTTTTGCTTTGAAAATTATTATTTTCAAATATGCATTATTGAGTGGCTGATGCTCTTTTAAAATGAATGACCAAGTGGTTGGATGAAAAATGCATGGAAATCCAATAGATATAATAATGGGATCTTCAATAATGTTTAACTGAGTTCATGATGATAAATTGGTAAACAGTGTTTATGAGAAATGCTTTAAAGATACCTAATGTTTGGTGATTTTTGTTTAGAAGTCTTACTAAGGATTCACTTTAGAAATAACAACAGTTGATAAAACCTAGTATCTTGAGGACATTTTTGTTTCAGAAACCTTGCCCCTCCAGAGAAGTTTATCAATGCCATACTTAGATTATGTAATTTAAGGCAGTTAAAATAAATATCTATAATTGTAAATAAAAGCACAAAACATTTTGATGAGAAATGAGTAGATATGGACTGGTTACCAACAGTTTGGGCTGCCTGAAATTTTGAGGCACTTAACCAGAAACCAGAAAAGGGAAAATCCAGAGTATTTGGCATATAAATATCTAAGAGTTGGCCAGTAGGTTACTTTGTAAGATTAATTGTTGGCATATTGGGTATAACTATGATGTCCTGAGTGATAGTTGTTCTGTATTTAGCTATAATTCGGATGTGGTTGTGCAAGGAGATGAGCTGTGTTTATCTATGCTGCCATCTTGACCAGAAGTGGGTCACCCTCTTGTTAACACACCAATCATGTAATCCCCTATCATTTCTACCAGGTGTACCTAAGCAAGGCAGAAACTCCTCCCATGACCAAACAGTCCTGTATTCTACACGTATTCAGTCATTTCTTCTCTTAACAGTAACTGAGGAGTATTATAATATTGTGTTCTTTAAACAAAAATGAGTTACTTGTGATTAAACTTGCCATAAGCTTATAAAGCATATATGGAATAAAGATAAAACAAACCACACACAGTTTCTTTTGATTAGTAATCCAGCCCCACTAGAACTTTGGATATTATTCCTGCTAGAAATAGCTCAATCCGTTGTACTCCTGAACTCCAGTCAGATCTTGATTTCTTCTCTCTGATCTTTTTACAAAGTCAATGACACTTGCAGCCTGCCTCACATACTAAATCTACTCAGTGCCAAGTTCTTCTCCCCTGATGCTTTTGGTTCACTTGCTATGAATTTCTAAAAACTCACTATGTCCTATATCTTTTCCTAAACACTACAACATCTGAAGACTGCATTTCTCCTACCTGCCCTCTACTATAGCCTCTTTCTCTTGCTGTACTTCTCCTTTTCATCTCTAAGCCCTTGGATAAAGCTTTGTATATCCAAGGGCTTGCTGCTCCTCTATCATGTAATGTTCTCTGACAACCCCCATTGTATGTCTGCTGACTAGTATTGACATCCAAAGAACAGCTGTACATTTCCTAGTTCTGCTTTTTTTTGTGATTTATTTTGATTAACCTATTCTAGCATTTTATGTGAAAGGGAAATTCCCTCTTTTGTGGAACAAAGAACTAACATCTTGGCTGAAAACCACAAAACCAGAAAAGACTATCTTCTCCAGAACACTGGTCAGACTTTCTGGGGACCAAAATTGACCCCAGTACTGTGCCTCTCAGTGAGCAGACAGGGACCCACCCTTTTGGGGAAGAAGGCAAGGACTGGGAAAGCAGGCTAAGCAGTAGGCTTTCTCAATTCTTCCCCCAGGCCACCCCACAGGGCTCCATAAGGGTGAGCCCCTGTTTCTTTCAAACACATGATTTCATCCACTTGAGATATAGCCTGAATAGCATATTAGCTGAGGAAACCATGTATGAATACATGACTTATGTGTAGTCTACAGGAGATCTGCCATATCCCCAGAAGTGCTCAAACATGTAGGAATTAATGTATTTGTCACAGCCAAAACCCCTCTCCTTAGCTTTCTCTTTTAAATCCAACCAATGTTGAAATCATTACCTCTTTTTAAATTTAATTGTTATTGTATTTTTTCTATTACCATTTAGTCCCCTTCTGCCCCCCTCACCCTAGCAATCACCACACTGTTGTCCATGCCCATGAGTCCTTTTTCTTTTTTGCTCCGTCCTTCCATTCCCTCACCTCCCCCACACTAGCTGTCATCCTGCTCTTCATTTTTGAGTCTGTCCCCATTTTCCTTATTACTTCAGTTTGTTCCTTAAATACCATATATGCATGAAATCATATGGTATTTGTTTTTCTCTGAGTAGCTTATTTCACTTAGCATAATGTTCTTCAGGTCCATCCATATTGTCACAAAGGGTAAAATTTTCTTTGTTTGTAAGGCCAAGTAGTATTCCAATGTGTAAATGCCCCAGAGTTGTTTTATCCACTTACCTACTGGTGGACACTGGGCTGCTTCCACATCTTGGCAACTGTAAATAATGCTGCAATGAACATAAGGTGCTTATGTTCTTTTGAATTACTGTTTTGGTTTTCTTCAGATATATTCCCAGAAGTGGGATAGTGGGTAAAATGGCAGATCCATTTTTTAATCCATTTTTTGAAGTATCTGTACACTGCTTTCCTCAGTGGCTGCACCAGTCTGCATTCCCACCAGCAGTGCAAAGGGTTCCCCTTTCTCCACACCCTTACCAGCACTTGTTGTTTATTGATTTATTGATGATAGCCATTGAATTCAGCACCTCTTGAGTATAATCTATATCACTCTCCGAGTCCCACTGCTGCCTCACACCCTAACTAAACTCTTGGAGACACCTCCTCATGTCACCATAATGTAAAGACTTGTTTGGTGTCCTAGGCTACCTGGTTTGGAGTCTGCACAGCCCTTTCATAGAGAGGGTAACAATAATGTTCATTGTTTTAATTGTGGAAATAATATAACTAGCACAAAGTGCTAGAAAGATTGATTAAGAAAATAGAAATTCACTGCTAATGAGGACCAAGAGGCTTCCTGAAGGCTTGTATTTGAATCAGTGGCAAATAAAAGTTTTACATCTTTCCCAGTCTCTGCCTCCTTCTTTGAGCACTGTCACAAGCAGAGTAACAGCTTCTCTCAGAGTCCAAGCAACAATGCTGCTGTCCTCAAAGGGCCCTTTGATGGTGCATCTGAACCAAGGGAAATGAAATCAAATAATCAGCTAGTGTTATTTGTGATGGAAGTAAGGCTCTGTAATAGACATAAAAATTGGCATGAATGGTGTCAGTTCTATTCACATAGGAATTCTTTTCCTTGAAATTTATAGTAATTTTTAAAGATCTAGTCAACACAAAAGGGAGCTGTTAAATACATTTGTAGTAATAGCCATTTGGAAATTATTTGTTTCATTTCCTGGAAACTTAATAAAAAGATATAATTTGTTCTGAAATGTATGTTCTGAATGGGATGATTAATATTCCTCTTATTGTTAGAACATCTAGAACAAAACCTGTTTGCCCTCTTTCAACTTCAAGAACATGAGAGGGTAGATAATTTCCACTTGAAAACTGTAAGAAAAAATAGTTTCCTACTTGAAATGATACTAAAATGGCTGAAATTTGAATTGCAAAATTTCATTAAACAACCTAATAAAGATATTACCATTAGCTGCATGTAAAATCAACTTTTGAAAATGTTCCCATGTTCATAAAGGAGTAAAGTATGAAGAGAAGAATTTTTAGTTGCATGCTTCCAAAACTATGAGTGTGCTAACAAGACATGTGGCCGTGAACAGCTTATTGTCAAAATGCTGGTGAAAAGCTGCTCTTCTCTGCCCTCCTTAATGAGTAAAATAGTGTCTGCATATGGGCATTTAATGACAGTGTTTGATAATAGAAAAATAACTTCAAAGAAGAGATGATGATGGCTGTGTGGTTGTTTGGGAGCTATTTAAACTTTCTGAGAGATTTAGTCTTGGTTCTTTGTACCTTGTTTTCCTTGAAGATCAAAGTATCTGTGTCTTCGGGAGGTGACTGCATCCGAACGTACAAGCCAGAAATCAAGAAAGGAAGCTACAACAATATCATTGTCAATGTAAAGACACCTGTTGCTGACAACCTCCTTTTTTATCTTGGAAGTGCCAAATTTGTAAGTCTAGTATTCAGCTTTTTTTGCCTTATTGTGTATATATACAGTTAGGGTTAATCCTGGTGGTGAGGAAAATGTACGGAATCCAATAACATGGTCCCAGAATCGTGTAATACAGCCTTTCAGACTTGAAAACCTCGGAGTCTTACCTCACAAAGTTCTGACGTGCCCAATTAAGTTAGAAGACAAATGAAGTGAAGAACACTTTTCGTAGTACTTACTCACATCTGCTTTCATGGGTATACCAGCATTCACTTTGAATTATTTGTCCAGATCCAGCTATTTAAAAAGAAAAACTAATAGGAATAAAGCTTTGGATTTTTTTTGTTTTCTTTGGTTTTTTTTTTTGTTTGTTTGTACTTTTCTCTAATTAAAAAATTATAATGAACTTTCATGGTAAATGAAAATGGCAAAATTGTGTACTCATTTTTTGCCAATGAAAATTTTTCTGATTCATGTTGAGTTTATGACTCAAAGAAGTTGTGACTAACAGAGCCCACCAAAAAAGTCCTAATTCCTTTCATTTAAACTATTTGACTTTGCATTGCATGACAACCTTCCAAAATTAATATAATTTTTCAACAGACTACTCATCGCATAAGTCAGTACCTGGAATTCAGGTGAGAAGTTCAGGGTCATCTCATAGCTGGCCCTTCAAACATGTCAGTGCTCTTGGAGAATACAATGAATTATGAATCCAAGTATTTGCTTTGTCTCTACCACAAGTATCAGGGAAAACATCAAAATTAGTCCTAACTGGAATTGATTAAATCAACACATACACCTCAGCAGTATGGACAACTGTGTTGCCTTAAAGATACAATGATAAAGTATTATTTAACCATATGTAATAAGAGTACATATTGTTTGGGAATTTTATCATGCAGCTTCTAATTATTTCACATATTTGTAAATGGCACCTGTTAAAAGAACTCTGCTGGCCCTCTCTTTCTGGGTGCTTTGTATATGATATGTATTGTTTTTGTGTTTCTCTGAACTAGGTTGACTTTCTGGCTATAGAAATGCGTAAAGGCAAAGTAAGCTTTCTCTGGGATGTTGGATCTGGAGTTGGACGAGTAGAGTATCCAGATTTGACTATTGATGACTCGTATTGGTACCGTATTGAGGCATCAAGGTAACTAAATCAATAAAGATTAAAATAAATGACAGAATTTTGAGGTACTCTACAAGTTTATAAGAGAACTCCTACCTTCTTGAAATAGAGATATATACATACATACATACATACACACACACATATATATAATAATGTAATTATGAGTATGTGCATAATCATGTGTGAATTGCTATCTTTGTAGCACCTATTGGGAACTGAGAAACCTTAGAGATCTTGACCAGATTTACTATTTGCTTTGGACCTCTTGTCTGGCTGTCCCATAGAAATGTTGAGGTTGTTTTCAGCCACACAGTTGCACCGGAAGAAGTGCTGAGACAACTCACTCAGAACAAGCCAGAGCCTAAGAACTGCCCTGAATGCCTGTCCTTGGTGTGCACAGTTGCTCTGCTAGTCTATCTACACAATCTATACAGCAACCTCACCTACTGGCATGTGCACTGTCTAAATGCTGCCATGAATGCTTAAAATGGACAACAACAGGAAATTGATTAATTCTGTCTTTGAAGCCGTAATTTGATTAACTTCTAGCAGTGTCTAGATTACTTAGAGAAACCATTCCTATCTTTAAGACTTCCCCCTCAACTTCTCTTTTGTCTTTATTCTCCATTGCTTACTATACCCTAGGCAGCTAACAGTTAAAAGAGGTATTGTTAAGGGCTTAGGGCTGGAGAGGCAGTTGATCAACAATCTGGTAATTGTTGAATCTAGGTGATAAATACATAGAATCTCATTCTGTGTTTGCATGTTTGAATTTTTCCATAATAAAAATTTTAAAACAAAACTTAATGAGAAACAATATCTTCAGTTCCTTTGTAAGATCTTCAGAAAAGTGTGTGTGTATGAAAGAGAGAGAAAAAGACCAACCGACAAAATGTGCCTCCATATGTGGGGGTAAGAGTGGGGGGATTCTGTTTTTTAAGAACGTAAGAATATTTGTATTCACAAAGTATGGTTCTTTTATCAGAATAGACATATTCTGTTAAATAGGTAGACTCTTATTTGATAAATTAATTTTATTGTTGTTATGTATTTCAATTAATACTGCACCTTCAAAGATAAAAAGATTACTAAAATGAGACAGCAGGGAGAGAAATATGACACTGAAGTTTTGTTATGACAGCTTGTCTCAGAAAAGAGACCAGATTTTCTTAGTTAACAATTCATGGAAATCCATCACTTTTTAAAAAGAAAATGAAATACAATAATAATAACTTTCAAAACCATATTAATTGAATTTAAAAGTGAAGTTCTTTTATAAAATTTGTATCCACAGCTCTGAAGACTAGATATTATACAATATACTTTAAGATGGTGTGCCAAACAATAAAAGATGCACAGTTCCAGGAAGACTACTTCAGCAAATCTGAATCCAAGATATAATAAGGAATTTTAGGAGAAATTATGCAGTCTATAATGCAGAAGTGTTCACTTGCTGAATTAAATTAGACAAAATGCTAAGTGAAGTAATATAAATTTATTTAAATAATATGTATTGGTAAATAGTAAGTTGTTTTGTGAGCCATAGGAAAAAGGCTTTTTGTTTAACCAACAGCCATTCCATCAGCTAATTGCTGCTGTGTCATTCCGTAGCAATGGACACCCAGGATCAGGGCATGTGGCTCCCTGGTCCTGGCTGACTCCAACAGGAAGCATGTAGCGAAGATCAGACCCTGGGTTTTGATTTGCAGTTTAATGAATCAGACATTTTTGAAGCTAAATAACCCAGTTAACCCTCAAATTCCAAAACAAGTCTCTACATTTAATACTTTTTCAACCTGCAGCTACTGGAAAGGTGGTACATAATTCATTTTCTGTATTTCCTTCCACTTCCTTTCAACACATACCCTGAAAGAACTGGGAGAAATGGAACCATTTCTGTGAGGGCCCTGGATGGACCCAAAGCCAGCATTCTGCCCAGTACACACCATTCAGTGTCTCCTCCAGGGTACACGATTCTAGATGTGGATGCAAATGCAATGCTCTTCGTTGGCGGCTTGACTGGGAAATTGAAGGTAATGTGTTTTTCCCCATCCTGTTTGCCTCATCTTTGTAGACAACTCCGGACATGATTACTTAGGAAGAAGCATGACAAAACTCCATAAAAGCTCAACCACTTTTTGCTTAATTTGTATTTTTGAAAAGAGGAACTTATGTTGAGTAAGGAGTTTCTTCTTTGAATATTTAATAGTGGAAGAACAATATTTTAAACCTATGTGTATTTACTTAAATACTTATCATGTTGTCCTAATCTGTGGCATCAATTTTTGTGCATTCTTGTTTAATTTGCCTCAAAAGCAAAGTGATTGTTAAATGTACTTTACTTCCTCAATCAACTTGTGATTTATTGATATAAAGTATTATAAAGTTCAAACTCACATCTAATTTAAAGGTTTATGAATACCTTGGGAAATGTCATAGGAGTCGTAAGCTTTTAAATTGTGATCTGATTTTAAAAGTTTTTAAGTTGCTTCTCTCCTCATTCTTATAGAATAATGTACTTAATATTCATAATTGCTTCATGGCAGGTCCTTGTACATTTCAAATTGCAGAGTGCCTGCATTTTCAAGAAGCTCATGCTGATTAAAAGGAATTAGGTGTGGAAAATGACCTGTGGGTGAAATGTAAGAGAACAACCAAATATAATGGCTAATCCTGAGGTTGTCAGAATCATCCCGGGATGAGATTTAGTCAGGAAATGTGAAGAGCCAGGTTAATCCTGGATTTATGAGAACTGAACCTTCTTATAACTGACCTTGTTTTATTTGCTTTGTGTACAAGATATGACTCCAAAGTATTGTAATTGATTCTGCAACTATACACTAAATCATTCTCATTTCTTAGAACTGCATATAAATATATATATAGTACATAGTAATATATGGTCATATTGTCCAATTTCTTTTCTCCCCAGAAAGATGAATATAGGGGTAGCACAGAGCAGTGCAAAACCCATGTATTTTGAAATCAAGTCCAGGTTGGATTCTCTGTTCTATCATTTACTAAAATATGACCTTAGGCAAGCCACTTAACCCCTAGGGCTTCAGTTATGTCAATAGGAAAAGGGGGATGAGAATATCTACTCTGCCTGTATAGTAATAATACATTTTATAACACTCATATAGATTTTACTGTGTGTTCTATAATGTCCTAAGTCATTTGCATGCATTATTTGTTTTTTACAACAACCCCAAACTACAGGTAGTATCTTCCCCTTAGTTAAGACATCTAAGTAAGAGAGAAGTTAAATGACTTCACCAAAGTCACACAGCACTTAGTAATAGAGCTGCAGTTAAACACAGGTTTATAGGCACAAGTGTCTGCACTCTTCACTACCATATTTCATGGCCACAGTGAGTAGGGAAGTTATGTGCACCCAATTTATAACAAATGCCTAAGGCATGGTAGTCACACCTTAAATTGCACCTTAAATCATTTTTATTGTTAGCCAATGTCACTGGCACAAAGCAACTTTCTTACAACAATCTTGGGAGAAAATAAAACACGCATATGAAATCTATAGAAAATCTTAATGATTTTGACCAAGAGTTTCAAGGAAACTGCCACACCAGAATATGAACTGAAAACTAAAAACAAGTAACTAAATCAACATGCTGATGAAAATCCAAAGGAGGCGGAAGATACATACAAGTATATACTTAGGAGGCAGGAGGGCAACGCAAAAAGCAAGTAGCATCCACAAGTAGGATAATCAACCTCTGGAAAATTAAGAGAGTTTTTGACTAACGGCAGAGAATTCTAAGGGCTGCCTGACTTACAAATGCCATCAGCTCCGATCAACATTTTTCAACCTGACAGTGCACCTCTTCTTTGCGGTGAGAGGAAGGTGTGCATGTCGATGAACTAACTCTAAGACTGTAGCTACATATTTTACCTATTCAGTGACCATCCTCTTACATATGTTCTAAAACCCAAATATGTCCATTCACTCCCCCTCAACCCAAGGTTGTTTAGAGAAATGTGGATTAGCTTTGTCAAAGTATTTCTAAAGTTATAGAATAGGCACCTATTAGGCACCAGAATATAGAATTTATGCATAATATGTCAAGATCAAGAGGAACAGTAGTTTAAATTACAGCAAGGTTCTCTACCATGGACTGTGTCTTTCCCCCTCTTTGTGACTGTGTTATGTACCAGGCTAAAGACCTTTCCCTATGAGAAAGACACCAGGGTTGTCATTCAACAAATATGTATTGAGCCCCTAGGAGATGTCAGGCCCTGGGCTGTGTCTACCAGCAGACTGTACCAACATGGCCCCTTTTCTTACAAATTTACTCTTTCCTTCATTCTTCTGCATGGGAAACCTGCTTGGGTATTAAAGGAAATGAAAAATTGGGGACAGCACTATCATAGGGTGAATAACTCATCTACAAAGGGTGCATTAGTTAATACCCCTTTTTATGTGGAAGAAATCTTCTTAGTGATAGAAGAGCACAAACATTTGTTAAATACCTTCTATGTCAGCCACTCTATATGGAACCATAAGTAAATTATCTAGTTTAATCCTCCTAAAAATCCATATTAGACACACACAAAATAGCATCTCAAAGAAGGTAAGTAGCTCACCTCAAGTCAGAAGCTAGGAAGAGTTTGTTTATTAATGGTGATACACTGATACAGCACAAAGTAACCAGGATCTGTGAGGATGTGATATGGTTAAAAGATGAACATGTGCACAAAGAAGAATATCAGAAAGAGTGGGTAGTGACTATTCCACATTCTGCTGCTCATAAATCTTATGGGCGCTTGAAGATTTTTAGTGAAATTCTAAATTCTAACAAATATATTTCTCTCTGCAGAAGGCTGATGCTGTACATGTAATTACATTCACTGGCTGTATGGGAGAGACATACTTTGACAGCAAACCCATAGGGTTGTGGAATTTCCGAGAAATAGAAGGTGACTGCAAAGGATGTACCGTCAGGTTAGTTGAGATGGTCTGGCCTGTGCATCACAGAAGCTTCAGTTTTATTGTGCACTATTCTACTGTCACATGGATGATATGGAGCAGGCTTGAAGTGATTACGATCAGAGGTAGATTTAACATGATGCCAGTCAAAATTCAAGTCCCTCCCCCAATTTGTGCAGGCACTTTCCAAGGCTCTAGAAGGTGCTTTAGCATCATTTTTGCATGGTCACATGGTTTTGTAAAATGTGCAAAGGTCAGGTATTTTAACCCCAATTAGTTAAGACTACTGTCTCTTTCCACTTAACTTCTCTTCATGTCCAGGAGGTTTTTAGTGTCTGTAGATATCCTGTAGTTATAATTTCTTTTTCTTTTTTTAATAATAATATTCTAGTTTTATTTTTATTGAATTTATTGGAGTGATACAGGTTGCAAGTATACAATTCTGTACTATATCATTTGAATACTGCATCATGCATACGCCTACCAGCCAAAATCAAATCTCTTTCTACTACCATTTATTCCCCATATGCCTTCTCCCACCTCTTTTTCCCACCCCTTTTTCCCTCTGGAAATCACCACACTGTTGTCCTTGTCTTTTTTTTTACTTAATCCCTTTACCTTTTTCACTGAGACCACCCCTCCCCTCTAGCAATCATCAGTCTGTTCTCCATATCTATGAATCTGTTTCTATTTTGTTTATTTTGTTCATTAGCTTCCACATATAAGTGAAATCATATGGTATGTATCTCTCTTACTGGCTTATTTCATTTAGTATAATACTCTGCAGATCCATCTATACTGTCACAAAAGGTATGAGTGACCTTTTTATGGCTGAGTAGTATTCCAGTGTGTAAATGTACCCAAGCTGTTTATCCACTCATCTACTGATGGACACTTGGGCTGTTTGCAAATCTTAGCTATGGTAGATAATGCTGCAATGAACATAGGGGTGCTTATGTTCTTTCAAATTAGTGTTTTGGGTTCCTTCAGATATATTACCAGAAGTGGAATCACTGGGTCAAAAGGTAAGTCCATTTTTTTTATTTTTGAGGTATCTCCATACTGTCTTCCATGGTGGCTGTACCAATCTGCATTCACACCAATAGTGCACAAGTGTTCCCTTTTCTCTACCTCCTCGCCAGCACTTGTTGCTTGTTGATTTATTGAGGATAGCTATTCTGACAGGTGTGAGATGATAGCTCATTGTGGTTTTAGTTTGCATTTCTCTGACCATTAATGACATCAAGCATCTCTTCACATATCCATTGGCCATCTGTATGTCCTCTTTGGAGAAGTGTCTATTCAAGTCCTTTGCTGAGTTATTAATTGGATTGTCTTTCTTTAGTGTTAAGTTGTGTAAGTTGTAAATTTTGGAAAATACTGCTCATCAGATGTATCATTGGCAAATTTGTTCTTCCATTCAGTGAGTTGACTTTTCATTTTGTTGATGGTTTTCTTTGCTGTGCAAAAGCTTTTTAGTTTGTTGTGGTCTCAGTTGTTTGTTCTTTTTTTTTATTTTGTTTTCTTGCCCAAAAAGATATATTAGAAAAAATATTGCTACAAGAAATGTCTAACATTTTACTGCCTATATTTTATTCTAAGATTTTTATGGTTTTGCAATTTACATTTAAATGTTTGATCCATTTTGAGTTTATTCTTGTGTATTATGTAAGGAGGTGGTGTAGTTTTAATTTTTGCATGTATTGGTTGAGCTTTTCCAACACCATTTATTGAATAAACAGTCTTTACCCTGTTGCATGTTCTTGCCTCCTTTGTCAAATGTTAATTGACTATAAAGCCATGGGTTTATTTCTGAGCTCTCTATTCCCTTCCAGTGGTCTACATGCCTGTTTTTATGTCAGTACTATGCTAGTTTGATTACCATGGCCTTGTAATCTAATTTAGTATCAGCTAGTGTGATACCACCAACTTTGTTGTTCTTTTTTCAAGATAGCTGTGGCCATTTGGTGTCTTTTGTGGTTTCATATACATTTTTGGAATATTTGTTCTAGTTCTGTGAGATATACCATTGGTATTTTAATAGGAATTGAATTGAATCTATAGATTGCTTAGGGTAGTATGAACATTTTAATGATGTTAATTTTTCCTATCCATGAACACAATATATATTTATACTTGTTTGTATTTTCCTCAATTTCCTTCCTCAGTATGCTATAATTTTCTAAGTACAGATCTTTTACATCCTTGGTTAAATTTATCCCTAGGTACCTTATTTTGTTGTTGTAATTATAAATGGGATTGTTTTCTTAGTTTCTTTCTGTTAGTTTATCATTAGTATATGAAAATGCAACTGATTTCTGATTATTAATTTTGTACCCTGCTACTTTACTGAATTCATTTAGCAATTGTAGTAGTTTTTGAGTAGGGCCTTTAGGGTTTTCTACATACAATTATCATATCATCTGCAAATAGTAACAATTCTATTCTTTCTTTCCAATTTGGATGCCTTTTTTTTCTTCTTATCTGATTGCTGTGGGTAGAATTTCAAGTACTATGTTAAATAATAGGGTAAAGAAGACACCCCTGTCTTGTTCCCAATCTTAGGGGGAACACTTGTAGTTTTTGCCCATTGAGTATGATGTTGGCTGTGGGTTTGTCATACATGGCCTTTATTATATTGAGGTGTGTTCCCTCTGTTCCCACTTTACTGAGAGTTTTTTTATAAGTGGATGCTAGATTATATCAAATGTTTTTTGTGCATCTGTTTATATTATCATGTGCTTTTTAACCTTCTTTATGTTTATGTGATGTATCACATTTATTGATTTGCAAATATTGTACCAAGCTTGCATCCCCATAATAAGTCCCACTTGGTCATAGTGTATGATCTTTTTAATGTATTGCTGGATCTGATTTGCTAATATTTTGTTGGGGATTTTAGCATTTATGTTCATCAGGGATATTGGTCTACAATTTTCTTTATTTGTGATATCTTTATCTAGTTTTGGAATTAAGATAATGCTGGCCTCATAAAATGAGCTTGGGAGTCTTCTCTCATCTTGAATTTTTGGAATAGTTTGAAAAAGATAGTTCTTCTTTGCATGTTTGGTAAAATTTACCTGTGTAGCCATTAAGTGCAGTACTTTAGTTGGCTGGGAGTTTTTTCATTACTACTTTGATTTCATCAGTTATAATTGGTCTATTCAGATTTCCTGATTCTCCCTGATTCACTTTTGGAGGATTGTATGCTTCTAGGAATTTATCCATTTTGTCCAGATTTTCCAACTTGTTAGCATGTAACTGTAATAGTCATCACAATTTTTTGTACTATTGTGGTTTCAGTTGTTGCTTCTATTTTTCATTTCTTATTTTATTTGTTTGGGTTCTCTATTTTTCTTGGTGAGTCTGGTTAAAGGTTTGTCAATCTTGTTTATCTTTTCAAAGAACCAGCTCTTGGTTGCATGGATCTCTTGTATAATTTTTTAGTCCTTATGTCATTTATAGCTGCTCAAATATGTATTATTTTTTCCTCTACTTACTCTGGGTTTGTTTGTTGTTTTGTTCCTAATTCTTTTAGATATAGGATTAGATTGTTTATTTGAAAACCTTCTTGCTTCTTCAGTTAGGTCTGTAATCCTATGAATTTCCTTCTTAGCACTGCTTTTTCTGTTTCTCATAGATATTGGATTGTTGTGTGTTCATTTTCATTTGTCCCAAGGTAACTGTTGATTTCTTCCTTTATTTCACTGCTGACCCATTCATAGTTTAGTAACATGTTAATTAGCCTCCATGTGTTTGAGTGTTTTTCAGGGTTTTTTTGTAATTGATTTCTAGTTTTTTGCCATTTTGATTAGAAAAGATGCTTGATGTGATTTCAATCTTCTTGAATTCATTAAGGCTTGTTTTGTGTCACAACATGTGGTATATGCTAGAGAATGTTCCATGTGTACTTGAAAAGAATGTATATTTTGCTGCTTTGGGGTGAAATATTCTATAAATATTAATTAAATCCATCTCCTACAGTGTGTCATTTAAGGTTGCTCTTGTCTTGTTGATATTTTATCTCTGCGAGTTATCCATTGATTCAATGGGGTATTAAAATCTCCTACAATGACTGTATTACTATCAATCTCTCTCTTTATGATTTTCTTTACATATTCAAATAATCCTATGTAGAGTGTATGTATGTTTACAAGGATTGTATCTTCTTGTTGGATTGATCCCTTTAGTATTATATAATGTCCTTCATTGTCTCTTGTTATGGTATTTGTTTTGAAGTCTATTTTGTCTAAGTATTGCTGCCCAAGGTTTTTTTTTTTAACTTTCATTTGCATGGAATATCTTTTTCCATTTCTTTACTTTTAGTCTGTATGTACCAGTATCTTTTGTTCTCCTAGACAGTATAAATATATGGGTCCTATTTTCTTTCCATTGAGCTATTCTGTATTTTTTTATTGGAGCATTTAATCTATTTACATTTAAAGTGATTATTAATAGGTACTTATTGCTATTTCTTTTTTCATGCTTATGTTTCTCTATATATATAGTCTTTTTTCTTCTTCTTCTTAAAGAAGGTCCTTTAAAAGTTCTTGCAATACTGGTCTGTTTTAATGAACCCCTTTAGCTTTTTTTATTGTTGTTCTGGGAAGTTCTTTATTTTGTCTTTAATTTTAAATGATAGTCTTTCTGGATAAAGTAGTCTTGGTTTTAGTTCTTTGCATTCATCACTTTGAATATTTCATGCCTATCCCTTCTGCTCTGAAGTGTTCTTGTTGAGAAATCAGCTGAACACCTTATGGGGGATCCCTCAAAGGTTATCTTTCTCTTGCTGCTTTTAAGATTCTCTCTTTATCTTAAACCTTTGCCATTTTAATTATAATGTGTCTTGGTGTGGGCCTCTTTGGGTCCATCTTGTTCAGGACTCTCTACACTTCCTGGATTGTGTGTCTTTTTCTTTCGCCAGGTTAGGGAAGTTTCCAGCCATTATTTCTTCAAACAGGTTTTTGATTCCTTGCTCTCTTTTCTCTTTCTAATATCCCTATGATGCAGATGTT